GGACCGATGCAGAAGCTCAAGCACAAATAGCAAGAGCAATTAATCAATGGAGAGAAATAGGTAGTGAGACAATAAATAATTTTGCGGATTATTTCGAGTGTTGGTGGAAGCCGAAGTATGAAATGTGGATGTCTTGCTTAAGAGGGGCAGCTAGAGATATGATGGACACGAATAATTTAATTGAATCGTTCCATTGTAAGCTGAAATATACTTATATGAGAGGACGGCCAGGTATGGATTAAAATTAATTAAAATCGTTTAGTTATTGATTGTTTAAAATATTTTAAATAATTATTATCACTGTTGATTTTTTTTAAGTACATATTTAGAATATTTATAATACAGTATTGTTTTTATTTATTTATTATTTATTACTTTATTAATTTTTTTTAATTTATTAATTATTTTTAATTTTTAAATTTCCTTTTAATTTATTCTAATGCTATAAGTACTATTCAGTATTTATCAATTGAGTTAAAAATGGCTTGTCAAAAAAATAGCCAACTAATTTTACTAATTTTAATTCCTATTATTAAGGTCGACGACTTGACGGCGAAGTACATCTTCTTGTAGAAGTTGTACTTCGTGATATGAATTTTTCTGTCTTTCAGAATGAATTAAAAATCGGCAGGATGAATCCACGGCAGCGTCAGCAACGAGTTCGTGAACTTGTAGGAACAACATGCATTGATAACAATAATATTTACAACATCCAGCCTGATCTTTGGATAATACGTTCTTTAACGAATGATGATATAGAATATTCAGTCAGGAAAAAAGACAATGAAAATAGTCCTGATGCTGCCCCTTACATTTGTAATTGTCGTGATTGAAAATCACGACAATTACCATGCAAACATGTATTTGCCGTTTTAGCACGAAATCATGCACATGATGATACAGGAGATAATCAACTACTTACTGAATCGGATTTTTCTGATTCTCATATTTCTTATAATCCTCCTGCAGATCAAAAAAACGATAAAGACGTCCAACTTGGAAAATTGCAAGAAGAGCTTGCTGCAATTACTGAAGAATGGAAAAATATGGAAGGAGAAGATATTTATAATTTACGAATGACTCTCCGGCATGCTACCCAAATGGAACGAGAAAGAATTGCAAGGATAGAATCTGTTCCCCGGGTTACCATTAATAATGAGTCAAGAATACATCAAATAACACCAAATGCGAAAATTACAAGACAAAATAAGTATTGATTTAAGTATTATTGTTTTTTTTTGGTACATGTTTATTTTCTTCGCATTTAAACAAAATTTATGCGAAATTAAAGTTTTTTCTCAAAGCAAAAGAAACCCGCTGAACATTCAAATTTGTTTATTCTTATTGACAATCTTGTAAAATGTAATACGTACATTTTCTAATGAATTAATAAAATATTTAAAAATTTAAGGCTCAATTATTTGTTTTGTATTTTAAAGTTTGAAACTACGTATAAAAATTTGGAGTTTGATTTTCATAAAAGTAATTTGGCGATTAAAAACATAACGAAAATTTTGGTAATGTTTGACAGCAATATATTCGCTCTTAGATAACGGTAATTAATAATCTATTATTATTATTATTATTATTATTATTATTTTGGTTTTTGTGGCGACGCCAAACGGAGGTGTAATTACTCCGCCCAATCAAAGACAATATTTACAGCGCCCAATTAGAAGTGGTGGGGGAAATTAGGACGCCCGGTATTGCCATATTGTAAGATCAATTGTAAGATATTCAGAGTCACATGCATGTATAAGAAAATTACACACGCGTGATCTGTTGATTGTTTGTATAAACTATAAAAAGGTGTGTACGACTAGTTTCTACTAAAAAAAAAAACTTATCAGAGTTACTGTACTATTTTTATTCAAGCAAATAAATTAGTCATGTTCAAAAATTCTTTTTATATTCCACAATTTGAAGTCGTTAATGATTGGAAGAAACCTGACGTTCTTGGATATTTGTCGTCTGACAAAGTTAAGTCTAAGTTGGATCTTGACGATGAGGATATCCAAGTAATTAAGAATAAGAAAATTTCCGGTACCAGTTTCCTCAATTTGAATCAAGAAAAACTTGAAAGTTATGGATTAGAACCAGGACCGGCAGAAGCCATAGCAGAGCTGGTCAAAAAAATTAGAGGCGACGAGCAAGGTAAGTAGTACCACGACTGCATCCGAATATTCCAAATATATACTGCTTTCTCCGCAATAATTTTCATTTGTTGACTTGTGCCATAACAGACGATGGACCCCCAAGAAAACGCCCAAGGTTATTCAGAGGTATGCTATAATCAGCTTTGTTTTTATCCAGAATTAAATTTGAAATATCTATATTCTATGCGAAACTCATAACATTCATCTAATCAATTGTCTCACTTTCTAGCTCTCGATGGCGAACAGATTTTTGATGATTCAATGTCTATGGCATGGACTGACCAGGAAAAAGGTAAGGTTTTACGAAATACTTATTGCTTAATGGCTTTTATTATTGATTAAAAATATATATAACATATGTATGTATAAATCAAAGAAACTAGAGAGGCATTGCTCCAAGGTAATTAAATTTTGATGATAAATTTCTAAAACATTCAGAAAGATTGATTACTACTGGTTTTTCTCATTGTAAAAGATTCCCAAAACATAATTTTTAAGAACAGAAGCTATTCCCCAGGCGAATCGGATTTTCTTAATTTCATTCAGTCAGGCATTTTTGTGGACAAATCGCTATTCATTATAGAATATATGATATACAGTGAGCGGGCTACACTTATTACTCGCCCCCGTCGATTTGGCAAATCTACAAACCTTTCAATGCTTTATACTTTTCTCAAACCGGTGTCTGAAAAAGAAAAAAAAACAGAAGCTTGCATTGTTTAAAGATCTCAAGGTTTCTAAATTCGATTGGTTTATTAAGTTAAATCTAGGAAATTGGCCTGTGATTTACGTTACTTTTAAGGTAAATGAGCATAAAACAACTCTTCTTTATACAGAATAACACATATACTTATTTTAATAGGACCTAAATTATGAGTCTTGGGAATCAATGCTGAGTTCCATCAGGAAAAGAATATCGGACCTTTATAAAGAACATCATTATATTATGGATAATAAGATGCTTCATGAAGATGATGAATCTTTATTTCGAAAAACTCTTGATGGAACAATTGATAATTCATATTTAATAGATGCTCTCTCCAGCATGTCACGCTATCTTCATGAGTACTTTAGCAAAAAAATCATTGTTCTAATTGACGAATATGACTGGCCGATGGAACATGCAGAAAGTTTTTACAACGAAGCTAATATTTTTTTTAAATGCATGTACTCTAGTATTGCGAAGGTAAACTGTTAATTGTTACTTAGTGCATGTTTGAATTATTGGCTAATCTATAAATTTTTGATGTAGGACAATCAACACATAAGCAAAGTTCTGTTCATTGGACTGCTTCCTGCAAGTTTGCTTTCTGGGCTTAACAATGTTGTACATTACAGTCGGGCACATTACCAAAAATGGAGGGCGTCTAAAGCGGAGGCACATCACGTGACATGATCTGCAATTGGTCAAAAAATAAAACCGATGATTGGTCAATTATGTACATCAATTTTATAAAAATTAAATTTTTTTAAAAATTCAACTAAAAGTATTTCATCAACTATCCAAGAAAATACCATAAACTTTTTTTTATTTTAATGATGAAAATCTCTAGAAATAAAATAAAATTAA